TGATTCTTTGTCTCGTCAAAAGCAATCTCTTTGACCACACCTAGAACATCCCCTATGTCCCAAATCGTCTGAGACCTATAATGATTTAGGGGAAGCTCCCTAATCTGTACCCAGAGAGGGACAAACTGTAAGAACTCCGGTGGTTCCTTCTCCACCCATCTCTCCATAACTACAGCCCATTCGTTGAACGATTGAACTCCTTTGTCCATGATTTCTTCAAGGTCATGTTCAGTCTTGAAGAAGAATTGAAAACTTTCATTCGACAGCACGACTCCTCTGATCCTCCCAGCTTTCCCCCATTTGCGAGGAAGGTCGACTATCAGATGAGCAACGTTTTGACACTTTGGGTTCAAAACCCGATCAATCATACTCAATGCATTATTCTCCTTCGAACAGTACTCCGGACGATTTGGAATCTCCACCGGCAAATCTTCTTCTTTGATGGACATTGCCATCATAGCACGATCCATAGCTGCAGACATCTTCACACTATTGAGCACTACGAACACAAGACATAAGCCCCACAACCCCCGTTAACACCTTCCTACTTCTTAGCTAACCAAGGACACTCGAATCAGCCAAAAGAACGAAAATCCGACGGCTAAAACGATTCAAACGGCTTCTCGAGAAAGTAGATCTGTAGAAAACTCTTTACAAAGCACCGAGAAAACAAACGGGAGAGGATAAGATTCAATACTGATCACACAAAAACAAAAGCTCTATCCAAAAGAAAAAGAGACACTCTAATTGGAAAAGAGAGAGCTAAGCCCACAATTGGGGAAAAATGTTGTTTTTCGAATACACCAAAAATGACAAACGTTATTAGAAACAAAGTGTTATTAATTCAATTATATGATGAAAATGAGATATTTATGGATATGTGTGTTTGATTTAGGGATACAAACTAAAAACCTGATTTTATAAGACAATATAATGATAGACTTGTTTCTTGCCCATATTTGGTTGGTTCTGAACATTGCATTTGTGACCCAAATTCGTAGTATTTTTTTGGGGGTTACATTAACAAATAAACAAACGGAATAAAATACAATCGTCAAAAAGAATTTAATTCCTTATTTTTCAAATGATGATGTGAAATTGACTTTATGTGGTCTAGTGGAATAAGTTCGCTATGAAAAAAAAAAATCAATAAAGATGAAGAATTATCGAAGTTTGAAGTTTGGAGAGACCAGCGTTGCGTATTCATCGACGAACATGAAACGTTTTTGATGTAAACGATTTAGCATTTCCTTTATTTCAAATCACTTCAATTAATATTTGATTATGAGGAAAAGGTTAAATGCTTTTCCTAATTCTGTTGAATTGCTTATTTCCTTCCTATGCAAAATCACTTAATTTTACTTGATTATTATCTCTTTATTTCGATTTTCCGGTAACTTTAAATCCAATGTCTACAAAGAATACCCTACGAAATTCGTCAAAATCGGGCAAAAATTCATTCCGATTAATACTCTAGATAATATATTTATGTTGACAATTCTAGTCTTTTTCATCTTTTAATCAGATCATTTCTTTCTTTCCGTCTCTCTAAAAAGATCCAGGTCTAAAAGAATGTTGGTTCTCACCCGTGATGTTCCTAACCTTTGAATTAATTTAATATATGAACATTAGGTTTCTAAAGTTGGATAGTGTTTTCAAATAATATTTGATTAAAATGTTGTTGTGACAGTTTCTTTATCACGGGTTTTTTTTTTAAAAAGAAAATAAGTATGTTAATTTTTCGTTAATGAGATTGATAATTATTGATTTTTCATTAGATTAAACTTTGGCTAAGACAATTTTTTTTTTCATCTTTTCATCTCTAAAAAGACCCATGTCTAAAAGAATATTGGTTTTCACTTGTGATGTTGCTAACCTTTGAATTAATTAAATATGTGAATATTATGTTTCAAAAGTTGGATATTTTTTCAAATAATATTGAGAAATTTTATGAAATATACCTCTTGAGGTGCAAATTTTCAAAACTACACCTATTGTGTGGAAATTTTCAAAAATACACTTTTTCCTAATTTTAAGCTATATATTTGGGTTCACTAATCCTAGATTAGGGTTTAGATTTTGGGGTTTAGGGTTTAGATTTAAGGGTTCAATGTTAGATTTTAGGGTTTAAAGTTCTTTTACTCCATGAAAAGTGTAGTTTTGAAAATAAACCCCATAGAGGTGTATTTTTGAAAATTTGCACCTTAAGTGGTGTAGTTTTGAAATTTTCCCAATAATATTTGATTAAAATGTTGTTGTGACAATATATATTTCTTTATCATGGGTTGTTGTTTTTATCTTTTAAGAATATTAGTATGTTAATTTTTCTTTAGATTGATAATTATTGATTTTTCATTAGATGAAACTTTGGCTAAGACTCAGGTTTTAAAAATGTTGGTTCTCACCCGTGAACCTTGATTGAAGTCAAGGAAATAGGTCAAAGTTGTTTTCTTGACATGGCTTTAGCTTTGTTATAAAGCAGTTGTCCTGGTTTTGGCCCTTAAGACGTTAGAGCTCGATTTTCCCATGTTATGTTTTATGCTTCTGAACTGATCTCAGATTTTCCCAAGTTCGTCACATGATAGCTTTTACTATTTTAGTGACCTCAGGAGAACTCCCAACCCAAACCCGCCACCTTACAATCTCCTCCATGAGGCATCAGATCTGCATGTTACAGTCTCCTGCTCTCCTGTAACAGATTGCGATCAGTTATTCATTTTGGTCAAGCCTAAAAAAAAGGTAATCATCAAACACCCGTACGTTTAATATGGAATGACTTACCTCGATACAAATCGATGTTGGCAAACCTGATCAAACATACAACAATTTGACCATTAGCTTCCTTACATGCTTCTAAAATTGCTCGTGATAAAAGTTCCATAGACAACCTGGAACACGAAGATAGATAATCAGTATGTTACTAGAACCCATATAAGCTACCATTAGAAGATTTTCCGAAAAACGTATCTATTCTGTTTTCTAATAGTAAAGGGTTCTTCTCACCTGATCCTAGAAGGCGATTGTATAAGTATTCACTCCTCTTTAAGCTTTTCTTCAACTATATTAACTTTGAACCCTACACAAACACATAGTAGCTAACAGTTTATTAAGTGATATTTTAATATAGAAAAAACAATTGTAAACCAATTGCAGTTCACCGTGAAATAACAATTATACAGAGTAACACACCGAAACAAAAAAGAAGAAGACAGGGTACAAATGAATTTCTATTCGAGGTTTCCCCCTCCACCTTATTTATTGTGAAACACTTAGATGTTCATTAGGTCTTCTCATTTAATTTGGAATATCCTGATGACGCCTAAGATTTCTCAATTTAGTTCTTAAACCTTATATTTTTGAATTTTCGAATATTCAAGTTTCCATAAATATATTCACAGCTATTATTTAGGGATATTTGCACCTATTTACTACCAATTATTCATATTATCTTCTTTCCCGTTTTTGAATTGTGTTTAGCGAAATAAAATGTTTGTTTAATGTGTTTGCGATTTTATTGTCTAATATATAGCTTCCTTTAAATAATGCTCTTTATTAGGATTTAACCCGCACAAATGTGCGGGGCAAACAGTTATTATTGTTTGTATATTACATATTTGACATTGTAGTTAAAAAGATGAAAGTTACAGAGGGTAATTGATATCATTGAAAGAGGTGAAGAAAGAAGAAAGTTCAGAATAAGTATCCAGAAATTAGAAAAACAATTGTAAGCACAATTGAACTAATGTGTTTGGACTGTAAACAGAATCAGAGATGTTTAAAAAGGGGCAAACATTAAAACGGGTACGAAAAACAAATTGTTCATGGGGCAACATGATCCCTTAGTCTTTTGGTGTAGTGAACAACTTCCTCCTCATCTAATGCGATTGCGATTATGAGTGATCAAGTGTGCTTCGGCAGTGTTAACTTTGTGTAATGGTGATTTCCTAATATTCACGTCATCATAAACTTGTTACATCAAATGAGTTGTAAAAATATTAGTAATGAGTTTTATGATCACTACTAATGTAGTAAGCGTATTGTAAATAGAGCTCTTACTTCTCCTTCAATTCTTGAGCAATGGGGAACATACCACCTCCATCAACAACAACAACAACATGATTTCATCCTGGCCATTAAATAGGACCCCATTAATAACTATACAAAGTATGGTTACATCGATTAAACAGTTTAAATCGTTATATAGACCTTACCTTTGTTGGAGAGAGCTCTCAAATCTGTTAACTCACATACAACGACATCATTTGGGATTCTTTGGTACAACTCATAGAAATTGTTAGCGACATTTGCACTTGCAGAATATAGTATTTCTTGATTCCTAGGGAAAGTAGATGAACGTTAAAGTGTTGTAATACTATATGATAAGGTAAGACACATATTTTCTTGTTAGAGTACTTACTGGAGATCACGGATCCGGAAATTGATTTTGCATTTTCTTTTGTTTCGTCCACCGAAAATCTCATCTCTCACCGTATGAAGATCTCCAACATAAGAGACTACACCTACCAAATCTGTAGTACAAAATATATTCCAAAATGATCTTAGTAGTTTTATGTTAAACTGATGTGAAAGGACGGTGTTTAGTAACATAACTCAATGTTTTTGGTGGTATTTTTTTGGATCTTAGTGTTAAAAAGTTATTCTTGCGACATAGTATTGTTACTCTTAACACTTCAACCCGTAAAAAAAAATTATTCAATTCACAGAACTTATTCAACCTATAAAAGAAAATTATTCAACCCGTAGAACTTATTCAGCTTGTAAAATATAATAATTCAACCCATAAAAGGATATTATTGAACCCATAAAAGAAATTTATTCTATCTATAGATAGAGTTATTCACTCCGTAAAATATTATCCACCATGTATCAAAAACTCATTCAGTGAAAATAAACATATTTAACCCGTAAAACAATTATTTAATCTGTATAACTTATTTGACCTGTAAAATTAAATGATTTAACTGGTTAAAGGTAGGGGTGTCAAAATGGATCCAAATTCATAGATTGACCCAATCCATCTTACCCATTGATTCAAATGGATTGAAAATTTGGATACAAATGGGTTTATGGATCAAATGGATAATCGATTAGTTGAATTGGATAAAAATAGTTTGGTTTATATTGGGCTGGATAAATGGTTGACCCAATTTATTAAACTAATTCTGGATAAAAAAAATGTTTTAATAAACAAAAGAAGAAAAAGTTTCTTCATCTCTTAACTCTCGTCTCTCGTCTCTCTCTCTCTTTCGTCCCTTTCCATCTTTTTTCAATTTACTTGATTTGATCTTATTCAGAGCTCACAAATTCACAAATTCACAGAAGAAACTCGAATTCTCAGGTATTTTGGCTCTTGTCTCGGACTCCTGAGTTAGGATTCTTATTAGCAGGATTTAGTGTTTTTTTTTCACATATCCAAAATGACTGAATCTACATCACATATTAGAGATGACTGAATCCAAAA